CTTCTTTGTCTGGTTTTTGGAACTGATTTGGGTACTAAACTCTGTAGAGTCTTAACACAGTTTATATATTCTTTAATATAATCAATCGTTTTATTCGACTCTTATCTACTCCAATATCTATACCCAAAAGAGACCGTTATTTATCCGCTCAATGTAGCTTCATCCCCTCGATCTTAACGCAGCTTCAGACCCCTACAAACTCTAATCCCAATCTGGTTTGATACATAACTTTTTAGGCTGATTACTGAGACTAGCTTGGGTTACCTAATATAATCACAATCTAGTTTCATTTAAATCCTAAACTGTAGTTCATCAATTTTTGATTCCAGTATCTTGAGTATCCTTAAAAACTGGCCTATCAAGTTCCCCTCTATTGAAATTAAGCATCCCGTCATCAACTAAGTAATTAAATGACATGGATATGCCCTTAGACCAGTGTTGTCCAAACTTTTTAGAGCCCCAGCACACCTTAAGAGTAAGCCATAACCAAAATCGCACATAGCATGCGACTCATGTCATTTAAAAAATTCTACGGCACACTAGTGTGCCGTGGCACACAGTTTGAACAACACTGTCTTGAGTACATCCTGGATAGGCCTATGATCATGTCTCAATCCTTAGTTTCAATTCTATCAAAAAATTAAGTCATTAATGACCATCCATAATCCACAAGACTTCTCATCATGACATTTAAATGGACATTACAGTTCACACAGCTGTTCCGACAAAACAAAAATTTCCATATTGACTCTTTTCATCTCCCATCAAAACATGTCGCATGAATTCCAAATAAATGATGACACATCTCACTTCCGTTCTGAATCTTCGTTCGGCGTTAATTGAATCACATTGAGTAGTCAGTCACACATTAATGTTTTTCTCATATTCTAAGCGCGAAATAAGAAATTATGGAATGTATTGTCCCCGATTAAAGTTAAATAATAAAGCTATTAAAATAATTAAATTGATAGTCATTTTGGATGCAATTTGATATTGCTGGAGTCAGAGATAAACGCAAAATAATAACTCGATTATCGTAAAGATGAGTACGGAATGATGGATTTTTTTTCTTCATCACTCAGTCGTACACTTCATACTTCTTCTCATTCTACAAGTCTTGCTTGCCTTTTTTTTCATTCATTCATAATTTTTTATGTTGCCTTTTTTTCTACAACAACAAAAATGTTGTTGTAAAATATTCGCTGCCAACATTTACAGCATTTTTATGTAGAGTGTAAGACCGAGCTCGGCCATGCTGACAGAAAAGTGCTTTAGCGTTGAGGTTTTAGGACTTATTCTTGGAGGTTATGCCTGATTTTGACAACGTTAGCTTGTATGTGCCTTAGCGGTCTTTCAGTCTTGCATATTATGTGATTAAGCTTTACTAAGGTTTAGAACCTAGAACAACATTCGGCTGATAATAAATTGTTCACATTTATTTCATTCGAGTAAGTTTTAAGATTCGAACCCATCAACTGTGAATAACTTATAGCTTAGAACTTAACAAATTAATAAAATATAAAAGTATTCAGACAAATCACATTTAGGTTCTTAAACTCTAAAATCCAGTCTAGACTTTTATTTCAGAAGAAATTCAAGGAATTTCGTCAGACTCATGTGAAAAATTTGAATATTCAAGAATTTATTTTACTACACATGCTCAAATATTTACCAACAACTGTTTTTTCAATAAATTTCCAGGAATTGTTTATGAAATTTCCTATAAACATATGAATTGATCGTATACTTAGGTGACGTAGGGATAGCGTGATGTGAAATATTTCCAAAAAATAAGTTTGCAAGTAGCAAGTGTGACCATGAGACAATCTGAATGTTGTATTAATGAAATTCGGATTAAACTAGCATCTAAACTCATTTGTAAGTACCAATTAGGAGGCGTAGCCATAGGGATTAACCTTTTTCATTCGATTTCAAAAAATTATTCTTCCCCCCCCCCCCCCCCCCCTCTTCAGGCTACTCAATGGTATTCAGGTGTTGTCCAAACTGTGTGCCGTAGAACATTTTTGGTAATGACGCAAGCCGCATGCTCTGTGCGACTTTGGTCATAGCTTACCCTTAAAGTGTTCTGTGGCTCAAAAACTTTGGACAACACTGATCTAAAGCAGTGGTGGTCAGCCTTTTTTATGCCACAGTACACCTGATGATAAGCCATGACTAAAACCACACACACCGAACGGCTCGTGGGATACCTCAAAAAAATTTAAATCAAACTAGTGTTACGCTGCACACGGGTTGAACATCACTGCTCTAGAGCTTGATTTTTATGAAACATAAAGCATTGCTCTAGAAAGCAACCTCCAACAAGCCAAAAATTTCATATCTTCAACAATCAAAACCACTAAAAGCCTCAATCAAATCTCTATCAACCGGGAAATTAAAAAAATTATAAAGTGAAAAAGAACAGCAAAAGAACGCGAAAAAAATTGCTTAAAGGCAAGAAAAAAGAGAGAAGAAAAAGTCTTAAAGAAGTGTAAAGAGCATTAAATGCAAAAGCACCAACAACTTAATCAACTCATAAGCACATAAAAAATGACATGAATTTATACTTTTACGTGGAAATAAAATGAGTGAATTTGGAGCAGCAATGAAAGGAAAGTAAAAGTTTAAGTGGATTTAAATGGAATTGAGGGTCGAGATTTGGTTGACAGGATGGTAAGAATTGCTATTAAGTTCTGAGTGGTCAATCACAGATCATCAAGTAATAAGATCCTAAATAATCTTCAAATGAATCAAAAAATCAAAAATCAAGGGGATAACAGCATGATGGAAAAAAATTTTGATTACAAATTCGATCAAGGAGAAAACAAAATGATGGAAAAATTTTGATTACAAATTCGATCTATGGGAAAACAAAAACAAAATGGGAGTTTAGAAAATCAGTGAAAATCATTCATTAAAATTAGTTCCCATCAAGTTGTTTTCCCCTTTCCAAAAATCCTATATAGTTCGTTAAATTATGAAAACTTAGTAGCGTGACCCTAAAAACTTCTCAAAACCAATCCTTAACCTCAAAATCACAAAAAAACAATTTTCAACATCCACAAATTCAATCCCAAAAGCATCAAAAACTCCACAATTTTCAGTTTTCATCCACACATCTTGTCCAATAATAAAATTGAAAACGCACACCACCCACAGTGTCTATTTTACAAGAGATGTCACTATGTGCATGAAAATGTTCAACCAAATCGCAAAAATTACACATACGCGCTTTATATTTTCCATATCATCCCCATCTTCTTCTTGCTGTTGTTCCTTTCTATTCAAATGAAAATTTTATAAAATGAAAAAAAGGACCAAAAATATTTCAGTGTGTGCGTATTTATATCAGTTCCTTCGGTTAGGATATCATCATGGATGGTGATACAGAGACTAAGACGTGTGTGGGAGGGTTAACATACAAGCCCAAAAGCCGAAGTTTTGTGTGTAATGATGGCACATACGTATGTAAATTTTTACTATCGAATTTTTCTGGCCGTTGCGCAAATCACATTTGAGCGAGATGAACGAGAAATTGGATTTCCATTTGATTTGTTCTTGGGCTTGTATTGTTGAATGTGGAAAATATTTTATAGCATATAAATAGGAATTGGTAATGAATTTAGTGTGGAATGGGCTAGTAAGCGCATTTTATATACTTAGAATTTGTGGAAGATACGAAAAAATGAATTTAGAATACTTTAAAGTTGTGAATCTTGTTAAGACTCGCACCCTTACCTTGATCGGAAAGACAATAGAATTTTTGAAGAATTTTGTATTAAATTATATACTTCACAAGAAGAAGATTCAAAAAATCCAGATTTTTGTATGAATTTACATACTTCACAAGAAAAAGTTTCAAAGATTTCAGAACCTTTGTATGAAATCATATACTTCACAAGAAAAGTTTTAAAAATTTCAAAACGTAAAATTATATACGTCACAAGAGATTGTTTCTGAATTTTTAGACTTTTGTATGAATTTACATACTTCACAAGAAAAAGTTTCTGAAATTTCAGAATTTTTGTATGAAATTATATACTTCACAAGAGATTGTTTCTGAATTTTCAGATTTTTGTATGAATTTACATACTTCAAAAGAAAAAGTTTTTGAAATTTCAGAATTTTTGTATGAAATTATATACTTCACAAGAGATTGTTTCTGAATTTTCAGATTTTTGTATGAATTTACATACTTCACAAAAAAAAGTTTCTGAAATTTCAGAATTTTTGTATGAAATTATATACTTCACAAGAGATTGTTTCTGAATTTTCAGATTTTTGTATGAATTTACATACTTCACAAGAAAAAGTTTCTGAAATTTCAGAATTTTTGTATGAAATTATATACTTCACAAGAGATTGTTTCTGAATTTTCAGATCTTTACTGTGAAATTACATACTTCACAAGAAAAAGTTTCCAGAAATATTTAAATTTTGTAAGAAATTATGAACTTCACTAGAAATTATTTCAAGCTTCCAGACGGACAGACAGACCTCCAATATTCAGATTTCTCCGTAAAGTTTAGAAATATACCACATTGTAAAATTTAAATAGCACTTGCATGTTTGCCATGGCTATAAAAAATAATAATTTAATATCGCAATTGTAAATAAAATATTCAAAGTCATTGAACTTTGATCGCCTCACACATTTTTCCAAGTCTCATTCTGCTCGCCTTCCTTTTGTATTTATTTTATCGATAATCGCCTCGTTGTCTAGCTCACCAAATGATTCACATTCAAATTTCTTTCTTTTTTTACTCACCATGTGCATGTTGCAGTTTCATTAAATTCGTTTTGTTGCCCCTTTTTCTCCTTTGTGCCTCTATTCTTATCCTCTGCTTTTTATTGATATTGCTTTTGTTGTTATTACCCGCTGCCTGATGTACACTTGTGCACTTTAAAACATGATCATTCATTCTGGTCAGCGGAATTAAATTTTATTGTGGCTTTTAAAATGCAATAATTGGCCATCAGTTTTAATTAATTCCGTTTTTTTCTGTTTCTGTTGTATCTGGTGCTGTTGTTAACGCTTTTGTTTGTGAATTATTTGCAATTTTGCATTTTATTGAACGGGTTTTTAAAGGAATTGAGGATTTGAATGTGACTGAATTCGTGGAATTTTAAGGAATGATGCATTTACTGCCCGGGATCTTTGCTGTAATCTAAAATCAATCATAATCAGGCATTATTGTACTCAGATGCTTAATCTCTAAGAAACTTTGTGGATAACTGAATCTCTAAAACTAAGATCTGTCTGAATTTCATGAATTTTGAGTCCAGACAGCAGTTACTAGTTCAAGTGAATCTATTCTTTTTGTTATTACAGTTCATATCCGTACTAACCTACAATTTTCATAGCAGAATACCATTCATCCCCCAGCAAACATCCATTCAACATCATCTACACCAAAATTAATACTAAAACTCACTCGTCCATCCACACTTGATCCAAAAACAGCACCAAGAACATCTCTAAAATCAATTTAGACTCTAGAATGATCTTCTCTTTCTTTGACATTCTCAATGTCTTCTATGTTTATCAACAACTTTAAAACGAGATTCCCAATTCCCCAATTTGATTGACCTTCGAAGTTTAAACATGTCAAAGTAGCTTGCAATGCTACAAGTCTATTCAAAATAGCCTGAAATTCGCAAAAGAGTTGCATCATGATGAAATAATTAAACCGTAAAATAAGTGAAGCTAATGATGTTGTTATTGGGTTTCAGTATACTGAGGAAGTAACCTCTAAAATCAGAAAATGGCTAAACCGCGTGCCGCGGCACATTAGTATGTGCCGTGAAAGATTTAGAACATTCCGAAAACCGTATGATGTGTGCGGTTTTGGTCATGACTTACCACTAGGGGTGTCGTGGCACAAAAAAGGTTGTACACCACTGGCTTAAATCAACAAAGATGCTTAAAAATTATTAGATTTGTTCTAGTTTCAATATGAATATCCCAAAAACTAGAAAATCGGAAATTGGTAAGGGGCCGTTCACTTATTACGTTAGGCAAAAAAACGACTTTTTTCACCCCCCTCCCTCCCCCCTTTGTTACAATATGTTACAACTCACAACCCCCCCCCCCCGCCCCCCCCCTGAACGTTCATAATTTATTTTATCATTAAAAAGGTGGAAAATTTAAAAAAATGTTTTTGGTGCGGTATTTTTTTCGTGAACTTTTTTTTAAAAGATGGACGGCAGTTAGAACGTTACACACTTCTTGATCCCCCCCCCCCCCCCCTCCTATGTTACATTTTGTTACAATTTTTCAAACCCCCCCTCCCACCTAAAATGCGAACGTAATAAATGAACGGCCCCTAAGCAAACCTGACTAATATGCGTAGCTAGGGGAGCCTAGGTGGGTCCAGACCCTTCCTAAAAAAATCAAATGATAACAAAAACCAAAAACTATTTAAAGACCCTTAAAAATATTATTTTCTGTCTACTTTCCTGACCGGATCCCCTCACATCAATCCTAGACACCATAAGCGCACAACCTTACGAAAGAAAATAAACCGAAAATTCTGAGAAAAGCATTTCCAATCGCATCCAAACGACTCATTAGCCTTCAGACATAAAGTAAATCATTCTCGTTGATTTTTTTTTTTATTTTTCAAGAACATAAAAAGTCATTGAAAGTGAAAATAATTTTAATGTACATTTTAGAACACTAAAATTAAATCCTACATAGAGGAACGAGTGAGTAAAATGGAAAATCTCATCACCTCAAAAAAAATGTACTAAAGGCGTTGTGGCGACATCAAGAAGAAGAATAGGCAGCAGTGCTATTTTTAATACCAAAAATAAATATATAGAATATAAAATTCGTTCTTACTGGCGAGGGAGCATTATGTTTTATGAGCATTTTGTGGTCGAGGGAAATCTTAACTGCCGCTTGCTCATTTACAGTCGAGATTTTTTTTTGAGAATGATGTGGAAGAAGAAATTAAAAATTTAAAGAAATGAAATCTCCCGGACATGATTTAAAGTGCATAGACATCATCTCGCACATGTAAGTTGCTCATAAATGCATCTTTTTTTCACTTTAGAGGTTCTGAGTGAGTCGCGGTGAGGGGTTAGAAATGAAAATGGAATTTTTGGGAAGTGAAATTTAATGGACTGCTGCTGAGATGGTCGTAAATTAACAATTTTGGTGATTTTTATTGAAATTTTCAGCATTTTGTGGATTTAGTAGGATGAGGCAGGGTTGTGAGTCATAATATACCTAAAAAGATATACCTTCATGTGGAAGTCATGCTTATTAGTCATCCAGAATCATAATTTATGGTTAAAGCTATCATTTGATGTAAGAATTCAAGCTAGTCATGCATAACCTAAAACTACATTATTAACTCACCTCATCACCACAGACCCCCCCCCCCCCCCTCATTCCTCAAGAATCCCCAATTCATAACAACTCGCATTTTTCCTCTTCTTCTGATTCTGACACATTAACATGAACATCTAATCTGCATTTCAATCCAATTTCTCGTCTTGTTTGTGTGTATGTCTTGAGATGCACTGAACTGTACCAAATAAAGAAATGAAATTGAAGGAGATGGAAGAAGAAGAATTATATACAAACTGTCTGTGAAGCGACATAACAAATGTTTCCAGCTTTGCTTTGTCACACGGTGAATGTGATGTGAACTTAATTTTATTTCTGTGTCCATGTCTTGGATGGTGGATGATGGTGGTGGTGCACGAGATGAATTTGATGAAAATTTTCGACAATTGCTACAAATTTTCAAAAAATTAACTAGGTGGAGGTCCAGTGGAGCTTAGGAAGACAGTCTTAGTTGCTAAGGACTATAACCTTTGTCACCAAACCCAAGATGCATCTCTAGTTGCATTCTAGTTCAAGATTATCAGTTGACAGGCCAAAAACTCATAAAACCTATAAAGTTCATACCAAACTCAGCCATAGACCTCCTCATAATTCCAAAAACTAAACAAAACCTTAATCCACATCCATCCTTTACCCCCAATAAATTATATTCCTCATAAAATATAAATATTAAGTCATGGGAACCCTCGCAATCTTAAGCAGCAGCAGCAAAAAAAGATGAAAAATAATTTTGGCGAGCAAATGCATAAATCATAACATAAATTGCTTTAAAAAGGACACTGATAGCTTCCCATATTGCACCACATACATCTCCCATGCTGTATTTTGCATCGCAACAGAACGATGAAAAAAAAATCTGCTGTGCCATTCCAGACGGTTTATTAGACACACAAAAAAATTATTGCTGGAGATGTTCCAGGCAGTCAATTTTTTTGTTATTGTGTGTATCGTGGCAAGTTTTTATGCCATTTTTTGTGGAGATAATTCATTTGCAGTTCCCCCGAAAAAAAAGGAAGGAAAATTTGTGGTTGAAATATTTCATACTAAATGTCCATTCATTTATTTCTTAGTTCTGTGTCTAGTTGAGAAATTCCCGACACAAGTCTATTCAATTGCATTTCATTGTGTCGGCATGGCAATATCACTCAGCATATGACTACTTATATTTATTATTCTTTTAATGACTGTTTATTTTCAGCTGAATTTTTTTTGTTTCTGTGTTTCTGCTTCATTTTATGCGTTTTTAATTAAGCGAATAAAAAGAATTTGCTTTCAGCTGAGAATGAGAGGAGTATATGCATCTTTGTGTGTGCATGTATATATACTTACAGTTAATGTTTGGATTCCTTTGTTATATTTAAGTTTTCTTTCTTGCATTTCAGTTGTTTTTACTTCTTGTAATCAGTTTCAAGTTCATGGTGAAGTAAGTTTCGTTGCTATGAGCATGTTGTGCTGTAAGTTGCAGGGATGAGGGAGGATGTGATCCTATGGTTGGTTTGTTGGTTATATCCTTGTATAGTCCTATCATTCTATGGTATATGATCAGTTTTATGAGATTTATGACGTACAGGGGGGGGGGGGGGGGGGGTTAGCTAGAAAATAACAAAAGAAATTCCTAGAAATTCATTGTCCTTTTTTGAAAAATGACCGTTAATTTCGGACGTCATAAATGAACGACCTCTTAGTATGTTTCTGCCGTACTAATATATATCTCCTATGCATAACTATGGTATACTCGAAAATCTTCTCCCTGAAAATATGAGAGTATTAAGGGTCCATAAATGAGTTCAGAAAGATATCAAGGGTGGAAGGGAGTAAGATCGGCTTATTCTTGTGTCACATTGCAACAATAAGACAAATTGTCAGACATGAAAATGGTTAAATGTGACCTTGGTACTGAATAATGTGTGAAGGGCCCAGGATTTCAGCTGGAAGCACTGCGATTCAATTTGTAAAGAATCTTTTGTACCCCACCCTTTAGACCTACAGTTTATAGTGATCCAAAGTAATTTCGCACCAACTTGGTCCTGAACTTTTGCTAATTCAGTCTATGGCAGTGTTGTCCAAACTGTGGACCACGGCACTCTAGTGTGACTCGAGTCGAATGCTGTGTGTGACTTATGTTATGAATTACACCAAAGATGTGCCGTGGCTCAAAAAGTTTGGACCACACTGGCGATAAATATCAAGTTCATTAGTGCCATACCTGCTAAGTGTATGATTCCTCTCCTAAATACATCTCTACCAATGCAATTAAATACACCTTAACCTACTATAAAGGCAAATCTGTTCGTTTGGATCTACTATGAACCCATGCTAAGAGCTGAGAAGTGTATCCATTTGAGTAAAACTTAAAGATTAATTTTATATTCTAGAAAGCACCTCCACTGGTCTAGATTCGAACCAAAAATGTAAGAAAATTAGATCAGCTTATTTCCATGTACCATATTGATGTTATTAAAACCAAACAGTTAATTTTGCTTATTTTGATAACTTATGAACTTAAATCGGTTAGATATTCAATCCTCCCAGATCAATTCTACTGTCCATTACTACAGCATCTTTTTGAAAAATCACCTCATCATAAGAAGCCATCACTGTAATCCCCATTAAATGACTCTCAAATGTATATCATTGCCAATCTCTTTTCTTTCTTTTATGCCTTTCTGCTCTTCTTCCATTCAACATTCTTTTCTTATGCACAAGTTCATGTGTGCGATATTGTGTTTATGCAAATTTTCGGTTTTTATGGTGCACATCTTACATTTCTCTCTCTCTCTTTCTTTCTTACTCTGTTACTGTTTCTAAAAAGAATTGGCAAAGGCAATGTTGTGACTCTCATGTACAAATGCTACATGCAATTGCAAAATGTACGAAAAAAAAACAACAAAAAATTCTCGGAGTCGCGAGTGAAAAAATAGAATCTGGCTGTATTTTGTTGTTGCAAGGGTCACTCAACGGAAACTGCTGTTGATGCTGCTGCTGTTTTGTTGGAATTAAAATATATAATATAAATGCAGTATGTGGAAAAAGAATTGAAACGAACAGAAGTCGTTTATTTATGACGTCCAACGTTTAGGGGGGGGGGGGGGGGGGGGGGGGGGGTTAAGAAATTTGTGATAAATCATATTTTTTGCGTCAA